CATGAAATCTAATGCAGAATTAGAACTCACCGTCCGCTGAGTATTGGCCCAAAGACTTTCAGCCACCCATCATGAGGATACCAGGAGGAGAACATACCATGCCTAATACAGGAAGAGAAGTCAACATCTTTTACTCATTCAACCAAAGTCATTCAACTGTTTCTTGTTCGCACGGCAGGAGTGGAACTCACGTTTTAGCAAAAGACTTCACAAAGCTAATGCAGAATTAGAACCCACCGTCCGCTGAGTATTGGCCCAAAGTCTTTCAGCCACCCATCATGAGGATTCCAGAAGGAGAGCGTACCATGCCTAATGCAGGAGGACACGTCAACATCTTTTAGTTGTTTGCAAAAGTCATTCAGTAGTCTGTTGTTCGCACGGCAGGAGTGGAACTCACCTTTTAGGAGAAGACTTCATCAAAGTTAATGTAGAATTAGAACTCACCGTCCACTCAGTATTGGACCAGAGACTTTCAGCCTCCCATCATGAGGATTCCAGGAGGAGAGCGTATCATGCCTAATGCAGGAAGGCAAGTCAACATCTTTTAGTTGTTTGCAAAAGTCATTCAACGGTCTGTTGTTCGCACGGCAGGAGTGGAACTCACCTTTTAGGAGAAGACTTCATCAAAGTTAATGTAGAATTAGAACTCACCGTCCACTCAATATTGGACCAAAGACTTTCAGCCTCCCATCATGAGGATTCCAGGGGGACAACGTACCATGCCTAATGCAGGAGGACACGTCAACATCTTTTAGTTGTTTGCAAAAGTCATTCAGTAGTCTGTTGTTCGCACGGCAGGAGTAGAACTCACCTTTTAGGAGAAGACTTCGTGAAATCTAATGCAGAATTAGAACCCACCGTCCGCTGAGTATTGGCCCAAAGTCTTTCAGCCTCCCATCATGAGGATTCCAGGAGGAGAGTGTACCATGCCTAATGCAGGAGGACACGTCAACATCTTTTAGTTGTTTGCAAAAGTCATTCAACGGTCTGTTCTTCGCGCGGCAGGAGTGGAACTCACCTTTTAGGAGAAGACTTCATCAAATCTATGTAGAATTAGAACTGAATTAGAACTCTCCAGAAGGAGAGCGTACCATGCCTAATGCAGGAAGACAAGTCAACATCATTCTGTGGTAAGCCCTTCCACTAGTTACTTTTCCTTACTGTTAGGAAATTTATCCTGAATTCCAGGTTGCTTCTCTCTTCGGTTAGTTTCCATCCATTATTTCTTGTCCTGCCTTCTGGTGCTTTGGAGAATAATTTGACCCCCTCCTCTTCTTTGTGGCAGCCCCTCAAATGCTGTAATTCTGCTATCATGTGACACCTAATTCTTCTTTTCTCTAGACGAGGCAAACCCAAATCCTTGTAGCTGTTTTTAATACGTTTTAATCTCCAGGCCTTTCGTCATCTTATTTGCTCTTCTCTGCACTTTTTCCAAAATCTCAACCTCTTTTTATTTGTAGTAGAAGGCTTTCATCTTTTGTTGTGTGCATCTCTATATACAGAGGAAGTGCTCTTTTACATATATATAACTCCACCTCCTCTTTTGCTAAGTCTGTTTCTTTTTAATAGTTTGTATCCTTCTATCAGTACATTTCAGTCATTAGTTATCAACCCACCAGGTTTCTATAATGGCAACTTGTGTGTATTGCAGGAGTAAAACTATGCCTTTTGCAGGAATAGATGTCACCGTCTCTTGCTGATTTGCCCATAGTCACTCTGTTCTTGTTATGGGAGCAATCCTTACCATCTCTGTTACATACAGATACTGTACAGATACAGATTAACAGAGTTGGAAGGGACCTTGTAAGTCATCTAGTCCAACCCCCCGCTCAATAAGGAGACCCTACCCCATTTCTGACCAATGACAGTCCAGTCTCTTCTTGAAAGCCTCCAGGGATGAAGCTCCCACAACTTCTGAAGGCAACTTGGGTTGATTGTTCTCCCTGACAGAAAATTCCTCCTTATTTCCAGGTTGAATCTCTCCTTGTTCAGTTTCCATGCATTGTTCCTTATCTGGCCTTCAGGTGCTTTGGAGAATAGCTTGACCCCCTTCCTCCTCTCTGGGGCAGCCCCTGAAATATTGGAAGATGCTCTCATGTCTCCCCTGGTCCTTCTCTTCTCTTCTCTTCTCTTCTCTTCTCTTCTCTTCTCTTCTCTTCTCTTCTCTTCTCTTCTCTTCTCTTCTCTTCTCTTCTCTTCATTAGACTAGCCAGGCCCAGTTCCTGCAACCGTTCATCGTATGTTTGAGCCTCCAGTCCCCTCATCATCCTGGTTGCTCTTCTCTGCACTCTTTCTAGAGTCTCAACATCTTTTTTTATAGTCTGGGGACCAAAACTGGATGCAGGACTCTAGGTGTGGCCTTACTAAGGCTTTATAGAGTGGGATTAGGACCTCCCTTGATCTTGATTCCATCCCTCTGTTAATGCAGCTTGGTATTGCATTGGCTTTTTTAGCTTCCGCTGCACACTGTTGGCTCATATTTAGCTGATTGTCCACTAAGACTCCAAGATCCCTCTCACAGTCACTGTTCTTAAGCCTGGTTTCACCCAGTCTGTATGTGTACTTTTGGTTTTTCTTACCTAAGTTTAAGACTAGGCTAGACTAGACTAGACTAGACTAGACTAGACTAGACTAGACTAGAATAGAAGAGAATAGAATAGAATAGAATAGAATAGAATAGAATAGAATAGAATAGAATAGAATAGAAAATATGGAATGGAAAGAATAGAAAATAAAATAAATAGGAATAGAATAGAATTTTTTATTGGCCAAGTGTGATTGGACACACAAGGAATTTGTCTTTGGTGTATAGGCTCTCAGCGTACATTAAAGAAAAGATACGTTCATCAAGAATCATAATGTACAACACTTAATGATAGTCATAGGGTACAAATAAGCAATCGAATCATATTAGGAAACAGTCAATATAAATCGTAAGGATTCCAGCAACAATGTTACAGCCGTAACCGTCTATTGCCAGACTCGAACTCACCGTCTCTTGCTGATTGGCAGTTTGCTGCCTATGGGTTCGACTAGATCTTACCGTCTCCTGGTTATTGGCTCTTAGAAGTCCCACAGCTGACTTTTGCGCAGATTGTAGTACTAGAACTCACAGCACCTGCTGCAGGACAAGAAGTTCCTGTCTTCTGGTGATTGGCCCAGCTGACTTTCACGCCTAGAACTCCTCACTTCTGGCCCGTTTCCTTGAGCGCTAAACGAAATTGGCTGCCATGTAGGGAGACGGCATATGCCAACCTCTCCCAACTGTCTGAGCCCCTGAGCCACCCTGGCAACCTGCCTGGATGTCTGCCCACCCAGTGGCTGTTGCTTAGAGACCTGTGTGTGTGTGGGGGGGGTCATTTCTGATGTCACAGCGGAGGGAGGGGGGGTCAGGAGGGGCTCTGTCAGGGGAAGACCCAGCCTGCTACCCAAAGTGCCATCGTGGCTTCCCAAACACCTAGGTCTCCCTAAAGCCACGAGGAGGAGGAACTGACCACCACCCAAGAGGGATTCCCACGATACACCAAGCTGACCCCCAGCCTAGGAAGCCCCCCTCCCGCTGCCCTCACAGCACATGCCATTCCCCCCCCCTTCCTGGAGAGTTAAGCCTCATTGATTTAGGTGGATCTAAATTTTAGGGGGGTCTCTCCCTGCATCGCAGAAAAGCAGCCGAGCTTGCTAAGAAACAAATGCAAAAAGAATAATTTTAAAAAATAGATTTATTTCTTTATTTTGGGTTAAAAGTATTACAGTGAAATTAGCATGTCACCAGGGGTATAAGATCGCTGACTGGAGACACACACAGATGCAAATATATACATATCCATATACATATCCTCCTGGACTCACAGCTGTCTTTAGAAGAGCATTTGATGGCTGTGGCCGGGAGGACTTTTTAATCAGGTCCGCCTGATCCACCAGTTTTCTGGCTCGGGACTCATTAAGTACGGTCACTCATGTCCTCGTCACTTCCCGCCTGGACTACTGTAATGCTCTCTACATGGGACTCCCCTTGAGGAGCACCCAGAGGCTCCAACTGGTCCAGAATGCGGCCGCGCGGGTGGTTATGGGAGCAACAGGGCGCTCCCATGTGGCTCCCCTCCTGCGCGAGCTGCACTGGCTCCCGGTGGTCTTCTGGGTGCGCTTCAAGGTTTTGGTTACCACCTTTAGAGTGCTCCATGGCTTAGGACCGGGGTACCTACAAGACCGCCTTCTGCCACCAAGAGCCTCCCACCGACCAGTATGCTCCCACAGAGAGGGGCTCCTCGGGGTGCCGTCGGCCAGACAATGTCGACTGGCGGCCCCCAGGGGGAGAGCCTTCTCTGTGGGGGCACCTACCATCTGGAACGAGCTCCCCCCAGAGATACGGAAGATCCCGGATCTGCGCACTTTCCGCCTCAAAACATTCCTATTCCAGCAGGCTGGTCTGGCCTAACTTCCCTTTTAAATTGCTATTTTTAAATTTGTCTTATAAATTGGGGTGTCTTAAATTTGTTTTTGGGCCAAAGTATTTAATGTATTTTAAATGGTTTTTAACGTTTGTACTATGTGTATTTTATCTTTTGGCTGTTCACCGCCCTGAGTCCTTCGGGAGTAGGGCGGTATATAAATTTAATAAATGATAATAAAATAATAATAATATCAATACACGAACAGCACGGCTCTCCGGGTAGAACTCATTTTAATTCAAACAGCGATAATAGTCGATAATAAGAATCGCCGCTGCGTTCATCAAAACTTATGTAATAGACACGATTGTTTTTTTTAGAGTAGTTAATTCCCATATTTCAATGTTCCGTTTTAAGGCCATCTGGGGGGTTGTTGTTTTTTTTCTTTGAAGACGTTTCGCTGCTGGAGATCCGAGAGGCTTCCTCAGCTTCTAGCCTGGGTTTGCCGGAGAGGGCTGCAGTGCCGCCGGCGGCCAGCAGAGGGCAGAGAGAGACCAGCCTTTCCTAAGCGGGTCCTCCTTCCTCCGACGCCTGGCCCCCTCCCTTCTCTCTCTTTCTCTCTCTTTCTCTGCACGGGTTTTCTCCCCGCCTTTCTGACGTGCTCTTGCAAGCCGGAGACGCGGGGACGGGTTGAATCCCCCGTAGATGCGTCTTTTGCAGGTGAGGAATTGAAGGGGGGGGTTGGGGGGGTTCCTCTGAGGAGGGGGAAGGGGGAGCAAGGTGGGGGGCTCTTTTGGGTGGAGAAATAAACTGGGGAGGGGGGTCTTCCCCATGCAACGGCTCTTTCCGTGCGAAGATGCAAGACACGCGTCGAGGGAGACACGTGTGGACCCAAATGAGGGTATCCCAGAAGCTTGACAGTGGGAGGGGAGGGGTCTGAAAAGCAGGGGAGGGGTCTCCTCCCACCCACCCACCCCTTTGCCTTCCTTGCTGGGTCCCATCCAGCTTTCCAAAGGAAAGGAATCTCTGTGCTGGTGGCCAGGAAGAGAGTTCCTCTGGGCATGGGCAGAGTGCATCCCTCTTCTTGTTCCATTACTGTTGATTGCCATATGGGGGGGGGACCCTTACGCTGAACCCCCCCCCAAACCCCACAGAAGCCCCCCACACACCATCACCACCAACAGCACACGCACAACTGATTCGCACCCAGTAGGTTGTGTGAATCCAGCTCCTGGGTCTTGGAATCGAATCGTAGACTCGGAATAGAGCCAAGAAGGGACCTTGGAGGTCTTCTAGTCCAGCCCCCTTCAGCTCAAGCAGGAGATCTTCCAGCCAAGGTGTAAAGTGCTCAATTTAGGACCACAACGGAGGTCCAATGTTTCTGTCCCGCTAAGCGGGACAGCAGAGTAAATTTTGCTCCCCTTTGGTGACTTTTCTCTCATGTTAAGTTGAATCACTTGCCGCCGTTAAGCGAGTCACACGGTTGCTAAGTGAATCGGGCTTCCCCCGTCGACTTTACTGGTCAGACGGTCGCTAAATGAGATCCCACGTGACCTCCCCCCAGGAGGGACGCTGTGACCGTCATAAAGATGAAACAGTTGCCGAGCGTCCGAATTTTGACCGTGTTTTGACCAGCAGCGGTCGTAAGTGTGAAAAACGGTCATAAGTCGCTTTTTTTCAGTGCTGTCGCAACTTTGACCGGTCGCTAAATGAAGTGTTGTTATGTTGTGTGGGACAGATATGCTCCTTGTTGCACACCCTTGAGAATTCTTGAGTGTGTGTGAATGTGTGAATCCCGTCCCAAAATTGCCGCTTGCGTTCACCCCCAGACTAAACTGGGTTTGTTCCTGTATGCTTGTGTTTTCGGTCAACCCCGAACATGGGTGCCTTCAGCTGGTAGGCCAGTGTGCAGAATGGGGGGGGGTGTTATTTTGGGGGGGGGCAGCTGGCCGGAGCCCCCACTTCAGTTGTTTCCCTGCAAAAAATCCGAAGAGGAAAAATGGATCTTAAAAAGGATTTTTATTCCTGCGCATCGGTTCCAATTCTGTAAAATTAGAAGTTTAGAAGCCGAGTCTGATTTAGATTTATTTAGGTGAAATAACTAAAAATGATTTAAATCAGAAATATTAAGAAAAAGTTGAGAAGGTGACAATTAATTAAGTCATACATTGGATTTTTAACAAAAAATTACGAATTGTAACAACTGGAATATATTTCATTGGAATGTATATAATGATCAGTTTTAGAAATATGAATAAGTTTCATATTAACTTTAAATTTAATTAGGGAAATTGTAATAACTGGAATATTTTTAATGGCATATTTGGAATCTAATCCAAAAAGGGAAAAAGTTGAAATGATATTGTATTGTATTTAAAATTGAATTTGGTTAAGGTGAGAGGTTAGGATGAAGGGTAATATTGGTTTAAAAAAACCCAGAGAGAATAAATATTATGGCAAAAAAGATAAAACTTTGGACTCAAGAAAAAAGGATTTTATTCCTCCGCATCAGTTCCAATTCAGTAAAATTAGAAGTTTAGAAGCTGAATCGGATTTAGATTTATTTCCCTTTCTGTTCCTTCCCGAGGGGGAATTTTGCCTTAAATAGTAATTATTTCCACTTTACGGGTATAAATTAAAATTTAAATAACTTTATTGTCATTGTACGTGTATACACAGTATAAAACAGACTCCCATTTCAATTTGAAGGCTCTATCCAAGAGTCCATCTCAATTATAGGTAGTCCTCGCCTTACGACCGCAATTGAGCCCCCAAATTTCTGTGGTTAAGCGAAACGCTCGTTAACGGAGTTTTCCTGCCACGGTTGTTAAGTGAATTACCACTGCAAATTGATAAGTTAGTCATCTGGTTGTTAAGTGAAACTGGCATCCCCCAAAAAGGTCGTAAAAGGGGGATCGCTTGACCTTGGGACACAGCAGCGGTCATAAGTACGAACCAGGGGCCAAGCATCTTGAATTTTGATCGGGGGATGCTGGAAAGGTTGCAACTGTGAAAAAACGGTCACAAGTCACATATTTTTCAGTGCCGTTGTAACTTTGGTCACTAAACGAACAGTCGTAAGGCAAGGACTAAATGTTTTTTGTTTGTTTGTTTTGTTTTCACAGCTTCACAAGGAAGCAAAGTTGGTGAAAAAGGAGTAATTGCAAGAAATAATCCTAGTTTCTCCTTTAAACCGGGTTTTTTTTAATTTTTTGCACTTTCAGGTCATTAGAGTCTAAAGTTTGCCAATCTCCCCATTCAGTGGAATTCTTGTCGCCATTGTTTGATTAATCATTTCTCGATTAATTACATTCCTGGCACGGAAGACAGGAAAGAGACCTTTGAAAAAAATACCATGGGGGGGAGGGGGAAGGAATCTGGAGTCTGGCAGGACCGTTTGCAAAGAAACAACACAGCTTTCCTTAAATTCTGCTTTGAAAATGTTTGCGAATTGCAAAATTGCAGAGTTTCTATGCAAATTTTGTCCAGGGTGGAAAATATGCCAACTAGACTTCTGGGTTTATTTTATTATTTTGTTTTTGGCTTCGTCTTTCTTTCTTTCTTCCAGCAATCTTAAACTGCAATGTTTTTGAAGTTCCTTAAATTCCAGGACCGAAGATAGAGCAGATAAAATGAAGCTTTGAAAAAAAAAAAATTTCTTGGCCTGTTTTGCTGCGATTAAAAGCCAATTTTAGAGAACAGATGAACAGAGTCGGGAGGGACCTTGGAGGTCATCTAGTCCAACCCCCCAGCCAAGCAGGAGACCCTACGCCATTTCTGAGAGATGGCAGTCCAGTCTCTTCTTGAAAGCCTCCAGGGATGAAAAAGGTTTATTTCTATTGCAGCATCTGCATAGGCAGAGATTTATATTCGGGTGTTTGGCAAATGATCCATATTTACGACGGTTGCAGCGTCCCGCGATCATGTGATCCCTTTATGAGCCGAGGTGGCGCAGTGGTTAGAGTGCAGTACTGCAGCTACTTCAGCTGACTGCTAGTTCAGCAGATCAGCGGATCAAATCTCACCGGCTCAAGGTTGACTCAGCCTTCCATCCTTCCGAGGTGGGTAAAATGAGGACCCAGATTGTTGGGGGGCAAGATGCTATCTAGTATACTGTCTTTGGTGTAAGCCCTTGGAGAGTGGGTGGCATAGAAATATTTATTATTATTATTATTATTATTATTATTATTATTATTATTATTATTTTGCAGTCTTCTGACAAGCAAAGTCAAGACTCATTTAACGACTGTATTGCTAACTGAAACGATTCACTTAACAAAGTGTTGCAAGGAAGGTCGTAAAATGGGGCAAAACTCACTTGTCTCACTTAGCAACATAAATTTTGGGCTTCGTTGTGGTCATAAGTTGAGGACTATCTATAACGGGAAGTGAAACATTAGTTCTTTCCTTTTTTTTTTCCTTCTCCCAATTCCTTTTTTCCTTGCATGCTGTGTCTTTTAGAGTCTGTACACTTTAGTCCTCGACTTATGACCACAATCGAGCCCAACATTTCCATTGCTAAGCAAGACGGTCGCTAAGTGAGTTTTGGCCCATTTGGCAACCTTCATTCAGGCTTGACACCTTTCTTGCCAGAGTTGTTAAGTGAATCCTTGCAGTTCTTTAGTTCACATCGTCATTAAGTGAATCCGGCTTCCCCATTGACTTCGCGGATCAGAAGTTCACAAAACATGACTCCAACCGTCATAAATACGAACCGGCTGCCAAGCATCTGAATTTTGATCACGTGACCATGGGGATGCTGCAAACGGCCATAAGTGTGAAAAACGGTCGTTAAGTCGCTCCTTTCGGAGGAGTTGCAACTCCGAACGGTCACTAAACAAACGACTGTAAGTGGAGGACTGTCACCTCTCTTTCTCAGATGGCTAATTTATGGGTCTTTGTAGTGAAAGCATGGATTTGTTTATTTTTTTAAAGAGCTCAACAAGTAAATAAGCAAATAGATCATAAATAGGGATGGGTTTTCCTGCTCGAGCAGGGGGTTGGACTAGAAGACCTCCAAGGCCCCTTCCAGCTCATTCCGTTATTCTGTTAAAATCTGCTGATGCTTTTGTGCCCTTTTTTGGCTTTCCCTCTGTAGACAACCCTGGCGGAATCCGAACCTGGAGCACCTGAGGGCCATTGCAGCCACAGGAGAACCCCGGCTTGAGATCCGGTGATCCGTCCTTCGGAGTCCTCATGGAATGGATCCCAGCCTCTTCGGGATCTCTCGTCCAGCCGACGGAGCCCGAGGCGGGGTGGGAGCCGGCGGAGTCCCCGGCCGACCCCGTGAGGGCCACCGAGGGAGGGGCCGAGCTGTCCCGTGCGGCCTTTTCCAGCAACGGCTTGCAGACATGCCAGGGGTCCCCGCCCCGCCCGTTGGGCCAGATGACCTCTGGGGTGCCCCCAGTTCCATCTCCTTCCCACGTAAGCCAAGCCCCCGGATTGCTTTTCGACCGGTCCATCTCGGGTTCCTCCACCTGCTCGTCTTTGGCCAGCTCATCCCAAGAGTCGGATGACGTCTTCAGCGACGTCGAAGGAAGGTCGGTCACGACGAAGAAACGGGTGCTGAGGAAGGTGAGATGGGGGGGCATGGGGGGTGGGCAGAGCTGGCCGGGGGGGGTGTCTTTCTTTAAAAGCAGGGGGGGATCCAACCTTGGCAACCTTTAAGGCCTGTGGACTTCAACTCCCAGAATTCTCCAGCCAGCTCTGTGAATCGATGCAGTTGTGAAACGAATCACGCGATTGTTTTACCCATTGAGTTTGCTTGTCGGAAGCTCGGAAAAGCCGATTGTTTTACGACCTTGCTCGCCATCGTTGTTAAGTGAATCACCTGAAGTTGTTCGATTAGTAACGTGGTTGTTAAGCGAATCTGGTTTTGCCCCATTGAGTTTGCTTATCGGAAGCTCGGAAAAGGCGACCGTTTTACAACCGTTGTTAAGTGAATCGCTGAAGTAGTTCGATTAGTAGCATGGTTGTTAAGTGAATCTGGCTTAACTGTTGACTTGGCTTGTCAGGTGCTCGGAAAAGGCAATCGTTTTACGACCTGGCTCGCCACCGTTGTTAAGCGAATCACTGCAGTTGCTCAACGAGTCGAACTGTTGTTAAGCGAATCTGTTTTTTTCCCATTGACATAGCTTGTCAGAAAGTCGCCAATAGAGGATCCCGTGACCCCGGGGAATATTGCAACTCGTCATAAATACGAGTCAGTTTTACCAAGCGTCTGAATTTCTTGGAATGGTCCTTGGAATGGCTGTGTCGTAAGTGCGAAAATCGGCCACAAGTCCGTTTTTTTCAGTGCCCCTGTAACTTCGAACGGTCGCTGAACGAACCGTCGTAAGTCGAGGATACGTGTAAGTGATTTATTGATGTGGATAAACCTATAGATTAATTTTTTACATCCGGGAGCAGGGAAGTTAAGGAAAACTGGGCGAAATCTGCAAAGAAGGCGCTTTAAAATCCGGCCAATGCATTTATGAAGGTTCAACCCTAAATTTGTTTATTTTGGCTATTTGCATTTTAAGCCTGAAAGCTTCTTGCTGGATGTTAGTCAAAGTAAAAACTAAATAAATAAAAAAATAAGTTTACATTAGATGGTAATATTAGAAAACAGGATGTGGAAATGTCCACATAGCAGCAACTAAAGCAGAGTTTTTCTCAACCCTGCCGGCTTCGAAGACGGGCAGACTTCAACTCCCAGAATGCCCCAGCCATTGCCGGCTGAGGCATTCTGGGAGTTGAAGTCCACCCATCTTCAAGGGTTGAGAAAGATTGGTCCAGTTATGACAGAGGTCTTCAAACATGGCAGCTTTAAGACTTGTTGGACTTCAACTCCCAGAATGCCCCAGCCATTGCCGGCTGAGGCATTCTGGGAGTTGAAGTCCACCTATCTTCAAGGGTTGGGAAAGATTCGTCCAGTTACGGCAGAGGTCTTCAATCTCGGCAGCTTTAAGACTTGTGGACTTCAACTCCCAGAATGCCCCAGTCATTGCCGGCTGAGGCATTCTGGGAGTTGAAGTCCACCCATCTTCAAGGGTTGAGAAAGATTGGTCCAGTTATGACAGAGGTCTTCAATCTCGGCAGCTTTAAGACTTGTTGGACTTCAACTCCCAGAATGCCCCAGCCATTGCCGGCTGAGGCATTCTGGGAGTTAAAGTCCACCTATCTTCAAGGGTTGGGAAAGATTCGTCCAGTTACGGCAGAGGTCTTCAATCTCGGCAGCTTTAAGACTTGTGGACTTCAACTCCCAGAATGCCCCAGTCATTGCCGGCTGAGGCATTCTGGGAGTTGAAGTCCACCTATCTTCAAGGGTTGGGAAAGATTCGTCCAGTTACGGCAGAGGTCTTCAAACATGGCAGCTTTAAGACTTGTTGGACTTCAACTCCCAGAATTCCCCAGCCATTGCTGGCTGGGGAATTCTGGGAGTTGAAGTCCACAAGTCTTAAAGCTGCCAAGTTTGGGGACCCCTAAGTTAAGGAAACTTATGTTAAATCCCTCCTTTTAAAAAAAAAACAGCACTGGCTTCCTTTAAATCCATGCATTGCTCCCCAAATCCGGATTGAACCACCCCAAATTAAGATCAAAGTCGTTTTTTCTTTGGATAACACCACCACTCACAACAAAGATTTAAATAAAAACTTTCGGGACCGTTTTTAATAGTTTGCGTAGGAAACTTTTTAGGAAGCACAACTTTCACAGGTCTTGAAGAGGGTCAAAATTTAAAACAGGAAGGAAGCGCAGCTCTGGAAATTCAAAAGCTCATTTATTTGCAAAATAATTTTTGCAAAATTAGCAAAAAAAAAAAAAAGCTAATTTTTTTATAAATGACATTATCAGCCTGTGCAAAAGTGAATAACTGTACTGAACAGCTGGACGGGGTGGTCGCAAGGGAGAGTCTGGAAGGCTGAAATTAGGGATTTAGATCAAAGTTTCATTATTATTTTTTTTCTTCACAAAGCACAAATTCCAGAAGTGATCATCCATTCCACAGTTTCAGTCACAAATGGACTTCGTGGACCTTACTTCACACTTAAGTGGTCCGTAGAGGGGGAGGGGGGGCGTGCATAAGCCAGGGGTGAAATCTAAAATTTGTTACTACCGGTTCTTTGGGGGGGGGGGTAATGTGACTGGGTGGGCATGGCCAATCTTTTTTTCTTTTCTACTTTTAAAACCATTTTTTCTACAACCTCTTCGGCGAAGAGATTGTACAAAAATGCTTTCAAAAGGCTCTGACGATCCCGGCTGAGTTGCCTGATCGTTAGAGGCTTTTTTTTCTTTTAAAAGCCTCTGCCGATCAGGCAACTCAGCTTGGATCGTCAGAGCCATTTAAAAGAAAAAAAAGGGTTTTTTTCTTTTAAAAGCCTCTGACGATCCCAGCTGAGCCGTGCGATCATCAGAGGCTTTTTGTTTTTTTTACTTTTAAAAACCTTTTTTCGGCCGAAGAGGTGGTAGAAAAAATGCTTTTAAAAGTAAAAAAAAAAAGCCTCTGATGATTGCGCGGCTCAGCTGGGCATGGGGGGGGGGCAGGGATTTTTGCTACCGGTTCTCCAAACCACCTGCCTCCATCGCTACCGGATCAAGCGATCCGGGCCAAACCGGGAGCATTTCACCCCTGGCATAAGCGCACTAACGTGCCTATTGTCCCTGCCATTGTTATTTTTAGTCTCTTATTCTCGCTCTCGTTTTCGTTTGACAAATTCCAATAAATAAATAAATAAACATAAAATAAGAACATATTTTCCTCTTTGAATAAAGGAGTCGCGTTAACCCTTCCAACCCTTCAGATAAGTGACTGTCTAGTAGTCTCTTCTTTAAAAACCTCCACAGATGGAGCACCCACAATGTCTAGTGGCAGGCTGTTCCACTGGTTAATTGTCCTCCCTGTTAGGAAGTTTCTCCTTAATCCCAGGTTGCTTCTCTCCTCAATTAGTTTCCATCCGTTGTTTCTTGTCTTCTGGTGCTTTGGAGAATAATTTGACCCCTTCCTCTTCTTTGTGGCAGCCCCCCAAATACTGGAATCCTGCTATCGTGTCTCCCCTAAATCTTCTTTTCTCTAGAGCCAGACCCAAATCCTGCAGCCCTTCTTCGTCTGTTTTTCTCTCCAGGCCTTTGATTCTCTCAGTTGCTCTTCTTTGCATTTTTTCCAAAACTGGGTTGCCAGGCTGCCACGTTGCCACAACAGAGCGAGACGAGAGCCAACCCCCGTGGCGCCTGGACCACGTGACGAGCCCCCCACGCCCGGTGCCGGATGCAGGGGCAGCCCTGGGTGCAAAAGGACTCTGCATGCATGCAGAGGAACCTTTTGCACAGACCGCAGGGGAGTTCCTGGGCCGGTGCAGAGCTGGTGTCGCTCGTAGGGCCCTCGTGCTTGTGGTTGCCAGGTGTGGCTGTGCCGGCTCCGGCTGGTTTTCGGGTGGCTTCTCCGCGTTGCTAGCGTGACGGAGCTGCTGGAGGGCGGCTGGACCTCCCGGCTGGGCTGTGCAGGAGGAGGAGGAGGAGGAGGCTGAGATTTCCTGCCTGGGGGGGTGACGCATGTCGGTTCCTCTTTCCTCCATCGTTGGGGAATCCTGGCAGGCCCCGACGATTGCGCCCGGCGTTGTGTTGGCAAAGATCAATGGGCTGTTTTGCACCCGTTTTGCACGTCTTTGGGAGCTGCAACTGCTCGTGCAGAGCCCAGATTGCCAAATTTTTAGCAATTTCCTTCTTTGCAACAAGCAGTTCCTTTGTTTTCTTGGCGTTTAAGACCGTAGCTTTTTTTTTCTCTCTCTCTGCTTGTTTTTACTTATTTATGTGTTATCCTGCTTTTATTACTTTGTCCAATAAGTCAAGGAGGAGAACATATCCAACGGCACATTCTTCCTCCTGTTTTCCCCCGTCACAACAACCCTGCGAGGAAGGATGGGCTGAGAGAGAGGGAACTGGCCCTCTTAGGATCAGAGAATCATTGGGGTTGGAAGGCACCCTGGAGGTCTTCTAGTCCAACCCCCTGCCCAAGGCAGGAGGCCTTATGCTATCCCAAAGTCACCCAACCAGTTTTTCATACCTAGGACTAGAACTCCCAGTCTCCTGGTGATTGGCCCAAAGTCACCCAGTTGGCTTTCGTGCCTAAGGAGGGACTAGAACTCCCAGTCTCCTGGTGATTGGCCCAAAGTCACCCAATTGGCTTTCATGCCTAAGGCAGGATTAGAACTCCCAGTCTCCTGGTGATTGGCCCAAAGTCACCCAATTGGCTTTCATGCCTAAGGCGGGACTAGAACTCCCAGTCTCCTGGTGATTGGCCCAAAGTCACCCAATTGGCTTTCATGCCTAAGGTGGGACTAGAACTCCCAGTCTCCTGGTGATTGGCCCAAAGTCACCCAGCTGGCTTTCATGCCTAAGGCGGGACTAGAACTCCCAGTCTCCTGGTGATTGGCCCAAAGTCACCCAATTGGCTTTCATGCCTAAGGCGGGACTAGAACTCCCAGTCTCCTGGTGATGGCCCAAAGTCACCCAATTGGCTTTCATGCCTAAAGCGGGACTAGAACTCCCAGTCTCCTGGTGATTGGCCCAAAGTCACCCAATTGGCTTTCCTAGCTAAGGTGGAACTAGAACTCCCAGTCTCCCAGTGATTGGCTCAAAGTCACCCAGCTGGCTTTCATGCCTAAGGCAGGACTAGAACTCACCATCTCCTGCTTTCTAGCCTGGTGCCTTAATCCCCTTAGCACTTGGAAGTGAGTAAGTCCCATGTTGCTTCTATTGGGATTACGGTGTCATGTCAGCATTCTAATATTGGTAGTCCTCAAACTTACGACAGGCCAGTCAGGTTGTGGGAACACCATCCATGGATATATCTGTCTTTCAGGCCTCCCCACCAGGGTACATGATACAGATACAGATTAACAGAGTTGTGAGGGACCTTGGAGGTCATCTAGTCCAACCCCCCACCCAAGCAGGAGACAGTTACACCATTTCTGACAGATGGCAGTCCAGTCTCTTCTTGGAAGCCTCCAGGGATGAAGCTCCCACAACTTCTGAAGGCAGCTTCTACTCCATGGGTTGATTGTTCTCACTGTCAGGAAATTCCTCCTTATTTCTACGTTGCATCTCTTTTTGGTCAGTTTTCATCCATTTTCTGTTTCTGGTTTTACCACACACACCTACAAACCCAGAGTTTCCATGTTTTCAGCCACCCATTTTCTGGCTTTTCCTCTAGACAAAATCCTGGAAGACCTTTTTCACCATGGTCCACTGGTCTTTGCGACGACGCAGCTCCTGGGTACAGCTGGCCGGACACGAAGGTATGAATTGCACGAGGTCGTGTGGGGTGCCCAGGGGAAGGTGTGGGGAGGGGGATCAGGAGCCAAGGCTAAATCCACTTTGGCAACTTTAAGATGGGTCGACTACAACTCCCAGAATTCCTCAGCCAGCATCCTTTAAAATGGGTGGGCTATAACTCCCAGAATCCCCCAGCCAGCATCCTTTAAAATGGGTGGACTCTAACTCCCAGAATCCCCCAGCCAGCATCCTTTAAAATGGGTGGATTCTAACTCCCAGAATCCCCCAGCCAGCATCCTTTAAAATGGGTGAACTATAACTCCCAGAATCCCCCAGCCAGCATCCTTTAAAATGGGTGAACTATAACTCCCAGAATCCCCCAGCCAGCATCCTTTAAAAGGGGTGGACTATAACTCCCAGAAACCCCCAGCCAGCATCCTTTAAAATGGGTGAACTATAACTCCCAGAATCCCCCAGCCAGCATCCTTTAAAAGGGGTGGACTACAACTCCCAGAATCCCCCAGCCAGAATCCTTTAAAATGGGTGGACTACAACTCCCAGAATCCCCCAGCCAGCATCCTTTAAAATGGGTGGACTACAACTCCCAGAATCCCCCAGCCAGCATCCTTTAAAATGGGTGGACTATAACTCCCAGAATTCCCCAGCCAGCATCCTTTAAAATGGGTGGACTATAACTCCCAGAATCCCCCAGTCAGTATCCTTTAAAAGGGGTGGACTATAACTCCCAGAATCCCCCAGCCAGCATCCTTTAAAATGGGTGGACTATAACTCCCAGAATTCCTCAGCCAGCATCCTTTAAAATGGATGGACTATAACTCCCAGAAACCCCCAGCCGGCATTGGCAGAGGAGGCCAGTGTTGTGTTGACCTCCAGGTGTTCGCCTCCGTTCTCCTTCCAGGCAACTTCAAGCCCAGCGAAGGGGGCCAGATCCTGAAGAAGTTCAGCGCCGTGGAGGAGGCGTGTCTGTCCGAGCTGATGACGGACGTGCTGCGCCCTTTTGTGCCCGCCTACCACGGGGTGGCGGAGGTGGGCGGCGAGCGCTACATCCAGATGGACGACCTTCTCCGCGGACTCCAGAATCCCAGCATCATGGACTGCAAGATGGGCACCAGGTCAGAGCGGCCTTCCTCGCAGGGCAGGCGGGGAGAATGGGATCGGGGTGTGGGGGGGGGCATCTTTAATTTACAAATCCCTCTTCCAAATCTTCCTGGATCCAAAGGATCTTGTCATAAGAAATGATCCCTAGACAACGATCAGATAAGAGAGCGGGAAGCCCTCAGCTGCATAATGGACGGAGAAAGAAAACTGACTTCCTCACTTATCTGGCTGTAAAAAGAGATGGAGGGAGATTCGTCCTCGATTTACGACCACAATCGAGCCCGAAATATCTGTTGCCGAGGGTCGCAGTTGTGAAGTGAGTTTTGCCCCATTTTACGACCTTCCTTGCCACAGCCGTTGTTGAGTGAATCACTGCCGTTGTTGAGTGAGTTACGTGGTTGTTAAGTGAATCTGGTGTCCTCGTTCACTTGGCTTGTTAGAAGGTCGCAAAAGTGGATCAAAAAGGGACTCCAGGAGACTGCAACCGTCATAAATCTGAGTCCAGTTGCCAAGGGCAACTGAATTTGGATCACATCACCGGGGGTGGGGAGTGCTGCAACGGTCGTAAGTATGAAAAACAGTCATGAGTTAAGTTGTTTTTTTCAGCGCCGTTGTAACTTGGAACGGTCACTAAACGAATGGCTCTAAACCAAGGACTATAGCTTACCATAAAGCAGGGGTTGCCAAAGTTGCCAAGGTTGGAGACCCCTGCCATAAAATAAAATTAACTCATCCTATCCGGTTCACCTGGGAAGACTGACCCCTCCCCATTCCTCCCCTCCAACAAATGTAGTCCCCGACTTACAACGGTTCATTTAGTGACCATTCAAAAGTTACGACGCCACAGAAAAAAAGGGACTTAGGAGTGGACCGTTTTTCAAACTTACAACCTTTGCCGCATCCCCGTGATCAAAATTCAGACCCTCGGCAACTGGTTTATACTTACGACCGTCGTCGTGTCCCCAGGGTCACATGATCACACGTGATGGTCAAAACGAAATCAGTGGGGAAGGCAGATTCCCTTAACGACCGGGTTACTAACTTACCCGCGGCAGTGATAAGCACTGGGGCAAGAAAGGGCGCAAAACGGGGGCGAAAACACCCGACCCGTGCTTCACTTAACGACGAATGTTGTGGTCGTAAGCCGAGGACGACTTGTATTTCTTGAGTTAATGGGAGGGAGAGTTTCAACTCACCAAGGGAGCTTTCCCTTTCGTCCCGGTTGCCCAGAACGTACCTGGAGGACGAAGCGGGCAAGGGTCAGCCCCGCTCAGCCCCCCGGCGAGACCTCTACCAGAAGATGATGAAGATTGAGCCCTGGGCCCCCACGCCGGAGGAGCACAGTCAAGGGGCCGTCACCAAGCCCCGTTACATGCAGTGGAGGGAAAATACCAGCTCCAGCACTTCTCTGGGGTTCCGGATCGAAGGGGTGACGGTGAGTAGCCGGAGAAGTGCCGTGTTTGTGTGTGTGTGTGTTTGTACATCCGTGTGTGTGAGCTGGAGAAGCAGGTCTTCCATCAACAGGTGAGGATACGGGCTTTCCACGCTCTCTCACTGAGCCGTGGTGGCCGAGTGGTTCGAAGGCAGAATTGCAGGCTGATTCTGCCGACTGCCAGCAGTTCGATCCTGACCAGCTCAAGGTTGACTCAGCCTTCTGTCCTTCTGTGGTCGGTAAAAGGAGGACCCAGATTGTTTGGGGGCAAGAGGGTGACTCTGTAAACCGCTTAGAGGGGGCTGTAAAACACTGTGAAGTGGTATATAAGTCTAAGTGCTATTTTCCTTCCTTCCTTCCTTCCTTCCTTCCTTCCTTCCTTCCTTCCTTCCTTCCTTCCTTCCTTCCTTCGCTATTTCTATTCCTATTCCTGTTCGCCCTGGTGGCACAGTGGTTAGAATGCAGGATTGCAGGCTAATTCTGCCAACTGTCAGGAGTTCGATCCTGACTAGTTCAAGGTTGACTCAGCCTTCCATCCTTCCGAGGTGGTAAAACGAGGACCCAGATTGTTGGGGGCAAGAGGCTGACTCTATAAACCGCTTAGAGAAGACTGTAAAAGCACTATGAAGTGGTATATAAGTCTAAGTGCTATCTTCCTGCCTTCCTTCCTTCCTTCCTTCCTTCCTTCCTTCCTTCCTTCCTTCCTTCCTTCCTTCCTTCCTTCCTTCTTCTTTCTTTTTTCTTTCTTTCTTTCTTTCTTTCTTTCTTTCTTTCTTTCCCTCCCAGTAGTTAGAATGCAGCATTGCAGGCTAATTCTGCCAATTGTCAGGAGTTCGATCCTGACTGGCTCAAGGTTGACTCAGCCTTCCGTCCTTCCGAGGTGGATAAAATGAGGACCCAGATTGTTGGGGGCAAGAGGCTGACTCTGTAAACCGCTTAGAGAGGGCTGCAAAGTACTGTGAAGCGGTATCTAAGTCTAAGTGCTATTGCCCTTCCTTCCTTCCTTCCTTCCTTCCTTCCTTCCTTCCTTCCTTCCTTCCTTCCTTCCTTCCTTCCTTCCTTCCTTCTCTTCCTTCCTTCCTCTCTTTCTTTCTTTCTTTCTTTCTTTCTTTCTTTCTTTCTTTCTTTCTTTCTTTCTTTCTTTCCCTCCCTCCCAGTAGTTAGATTGCAGAATTGCAGGCTAATTCTGCCAACTGTCAGGAGTTCGATCCTGACTGGCTCAAGGTTGACTCAGCCTTCTGTCCTTCCGTGGTCGGTAAAAACGAGGACCCAGATTGTTGGGGGGGCCAGAGCCTGAGAGAGGGCTGCAAAGCACTGCGAAGCGGTATATAAGTCTAAGAGCCGTTGCTATTTCTCTCTCTTTCTCTCTCTCTCTCTCTCTCTCTGCAGATCGAGGGGGGAACCGTGCAGCGGGATTTCAAGCAGACGCGGAGCCAGGATCAAATCATGGAGATCTTCTTGAAATTTGTGAAGAATCGCGTGGACGTGTTGGTGAGCTCTTGACCGAGGAAAGTGGGAGGAGGAAGCAGGATTCTTAGCCGAAAAGTGGGACCGAGCTTTCGATCAGTGGCTGAGCTACAACGTCGTGGGGCGGATTTGATTTTGGGTTGGTTGTTGTGGTTTTTTAGGGTGGTGTCCGTGGTGCTCCCTGGTTGTTTTCTTGCAGATGTTTCATTGCCCAACTAGGCGGCCTCCTCAGTGTCAGAAGGAAGTGGGGTTCGCTCACCAGCGTTGGTGGGAGTGTCCTTGGTGGCTCCTTGTTTAGAGTGTCTGAGTTGTTTGTCTAAGTTGATAATTCCTTGACTGGAGGATTGTTTGTCTGGTGTTAATCTCTGCTTATCTGGGTGTTTTGGTCTCTTTGTTTCCTTTGCAGCTTTTTGATTGTCTTTTTTCAGGGGTGGGCTTCAAAAATTTTAGCAAGGGGTTCTCAGCCCGGTTGCTGGGTGGGCGTGGCCATAGTGGGCGTGACCTAGTCAGCTCCCGGGGGGGACTTTTTGCCCTCCCCAGGCTCCAGAGGCTTTCCTGGAGCCTCCGGGAGGGCGAAAACGGCCTCCCCAGGCTCCGGAGGCCCTCTGAATCTTCCGGTAGGCCTGTTTTTCGTCCTCCACGAGGCTCCACGCACGCCCTGCATTTACTTGCATCCGAAACGGGCCGCGTGGGGACTCCTGGGGGGGGAAGGGAGGGGTGGACGGGCCCAATCAGGAGTGGGATTTGGGGGTTCTCCGAACTGCACAGAATCTGAGCTAGAATTTCTCCTGCGAATCCCCAGCAGCTCCACCCCTGTCTTTTTTGAATGGTGTGCAAATGTTGTTAATCTCTGTGTGCCTGGTGATGGCTGAGGACTTGGCTTGATCTAGGACAGGGGTCTCCAACCTTGGCAACTTTACGACTTGTGGACTTCAACTCCCAGAATTCCTTATGCCATGATTACCTGTACCAAGGACTTACCTGTAACAATGGATTGGGGGGTGGGGGAATAAACCACAATGGGGTAGATCAGTGTTTTTCAACCTTCAACGCTTTAAGAGGTGTGGATGTTAACTCCCAGAATTCTCCAGGCAGACATGAGGAATCCTGGGAGTTGAAGTCCACAAGTTGTAAAGTTGCCAAGGTTGGAGACTAGGACGCTCACAAGTTGCTTCTCTCCTTGGTTAGTTTCCATCCGTTGCTGCTTGTCCTGCCTTCTGGTGCTTTGGAGAATAATAGGACCCCCTCCTCTTCTTTGGGGCAGCCCCTCAAATACTAGGACACAGCTGTCATGTCACCCCTCGTCCTTCTTAAGGCATTTAAGATGGCATTTAAGATGGCTGGACTTCAACTCCCAGCATAGCTGGCTGGGGAATTCTAGGAGTTGAAGTCCACCCGTCATAACGTTACCAAGCTTTTGAGAACCACTTGAAGCACACAGCTGCAGTGGTGCAGTAGTTAGAAGGCAGTATTGCAGGCTAAACTCTGCCCACTGCCAGCAGTTCGATCCTGAGCAGCTCAAGGTCGACTCAGCCTTCCGTCCTTCCAAGGTGAGTAAAATGAGGATCCAGATTGTTGGGGGCAAGAGGCCGACTCTGTAAACCGCTTAGAGGGGGCTGGAAAGCACTATAAAGCGGTATATAAGTCTAAGTGCTATTCCTTCCTTCCTTCCTTCCTTCCCTCCTTCCTTCCTTCCCTCCCTCCCTCCTTCCTTCCTTCCTTCCTTCCCTCCTTCCTTCCTTCCTTCCTTCCCTCCCTCCTTCCTTCCTTCCCTCCCTCCTTCCTTCCTTCCTTCCCTCCCTCCTTCCCTCCTTCCTTCCTTCCTTCCCTCCTTCCCTCTTTCCTTCCCTCCTTCCTTCCCTCCTTCCTTCCCTCCCTCCTTCCTTCCTTCCTTTCCTCCTTCCTTCCTTCCCTCCCTCCTTCAGGTTGACTCAGCCTTCCATCCTTCTGAGGTCCGTAAAATGAGGACCCAGCTCTTTGGGGGCAAGAGGCTGACTCTGTAAACCACTTAGAGAGGGCTGTAAAGGCACTGTGAAGCAGTATATAAGTCTAAATGCTATTGCTTCTCGCTCCTCCCTCCCTCCCTCCCTCCCTCCCTCCCTCCCTTCCTTCCTTCCTTCCTAAAGGTTGACTCAGCCTTCCTTCCTTCCAAGGTGGGTCAAATGAGGACCCAGATTGTTGGGGGCAAGAGGCTGACTCTGTAAACCGCTTAGAGGGGGCTGGAAAGATACTGTGAAGCGGTATATAAGTCTAAATGCTATTGCTTCTCGCTCCTCCCTCCCTCCCTCCCTCCCTTCCTTCCTTCCTCCCTTCCTTCCTTCCTTCCTTCCTTCCTTCCTTCCTTCCTTCTAAAGGTTGACTCAGCCTTCCATCCTTCCAAGGTGGGTCAAATGAGGACCCAGATTATTGGGGGCAAGTGGCTGACTCTAAACCTCTCAGAGAGCTGCAAAGCACTGTGAAGAGGGATATAAGTCTTAAGTGCTACTGTTATTTTCCTTCCTTCCTTCCTTCCTTCCTTCCTTCCTTCCTTCCTTCCTTCCTTCCTTCCTTCCTTCCTTCCCTCCCTCCTTCCTTCCTTCCCTCCCTCCTTCCTTCCTTCCTTCCCTCCCTCCTTCCCTCCTTCCTTCCTTCCTTCCCTCCTTCCCTCTTTCCTTCCCTCCTTCCTTCCCTCCTTCCTTCCCTCCCTCCTTCCTTCCTTCCTTTCCTCCTTCCTTCCTTCCCTCCCTCCTTCAGGTTGACTCAGCCTTCCATCCTTCTGAGGTCCGTAAAATGAGGACCCAGCTCTTTGGGGGCAAGAGGCTGACTCTGTAAACCACTTAGAGAGGGCTGTAAAGGCACTGTGAAGCAGTATATAAGTCTAAATGCTATTGCTTCTCGCTCCTCCCTCCCTCCCTCCCTCCCTCCCTCCCTTCCTTCCTTCCTTCCTAAAGGTTGACTCAGCCTTCCTTCCTTCCAAGGTGGGTCAAATGAGGACCCAGATTGTTGGGGGCAAGAGGCTGACTCTGTAAACCGCTTAGAGGGGGCTGGAAAGATACTGTGAAGCGGTATATAAGTCTAAATGCTATTGCTTCTCGCTCCTCCCTCCCTCCCTCCCTCCCTTCCTTCCTTCCTCCCTTCCTTCCTTCCTTCCTTCCTTCCTTCCTTCCTTCCTTCTAAAGGTTGACTCAGCCTTCCATCCTTCCAAGGTGGGTCAAATGAGGACCCAGATTATTGGGGGCAAGTGGCTGACTCTAAACCTCTCAGAGAGCTGCAAAGCACTGTGAAGAGGGATATAAGTCTTAAGTGCTACTGTTATTTTCCTTCCTTCCTTCCTTCCTTCCTTCCTTCCTTCCTTCCTTCCTTCCTTCCTTCCTTCCTTCCCTCCCTCCTTCCTTCCTTCCCTCCCTCCTTCCTTCCTTCCTTCCCTCCCTCCTTCCCTCCTTCCTTCCTTCCTTCCCTCCTTCCCTCTTTCCTTCCCTCCTTCCTTCCCTCCTTCCTTCCCTCCCTCCTTCCTTCCTTCCTTTCCTCCTTCCTTCCTTCCCTCCCTCCTTCAGGTTGACTCAGCCTTCCATCCTTCTGAGGTCCGTAAAATGAGGACCCAGCTCTTTGGGGGCAAGAGGCTGACTCTGTAAACCACTTAGAGAGGGCTGTAAAGGCACTGTGAAGCAGTATATAAGTCTAAATGCTATTGCTTCTCGCTCCTCCCTCCCTCCCTCCCTCCCTCCCTCCCTCCCTTCCTTCCTTCCTTCCTAAAGGTTGACTCAGCCTTCCTTCCTTCCAAGGTGGGTCAAATGAGGACCCAGATTGTTGGGGGCAAGAGGCTGACTCTGTAAACCGCTTAGAGGGGGCTGGAAAGATACTGTGAAGCGGTATATAAGTCTAAATGCTATTGCTTCTCGCTCCTCCCTCCCTCCCTCCCTCCCTTCCTTCCTTCCTCCCTTCCTTCCTTCCTTCCTTCCTTCCTTCCTTCCTTCCTTCTAAAGGTTGACTCAGCCTTCCATCCTTCCAAGGTGGGTCAAATGAGGACCCAGATTATTGGGGGCAAGTGGCTGACTCTAAACCTCTCAGAGAGCTGCAAAGCACTGTGAAGAGGGATATAAGTCTTAAGTGCTACTGTTATTTTCCTTCCTTCCTTCCTTCCTTCCTTCCTTCCTTCCTTCCTTCCTTCCTTCCTTCCTTCCTTCCTTCCTTCCTTCCTTCCTTCCTTCCTTCCCTCCCAGTGGTTAAGAGTGTAGTATTGCAGGCTAGTTCTGCCCGAGTGCCAGCAGTTCGATCCTAACCAGCTCAAGGTCAACTCAACCATCCATCCTTCTGAGGTCCGTAAAATGAGGACCCAGCTCTTTGGGGACAAGAGGCTGACTCTGTAAACCGCTTAGAGAGGGCTGCAAAGCACTGTGAAGCAGGATATAAGTCTATTGCTTACTGATTTTCACTGTATTAAAGTCACTCTTATATTTGTTTTTTGTTTTTCCGGACGCTTTTAAAAAACGACAGGTTTATTGGGGGGGGGCGGAGACATTGCCCCCCAACTCTTCTTGTTTTAATATTCTCCTTGATTTGCAGAAGATCTACTTGGCACGCCTGGAGAATTTACGCCAAGCTTTGGAAGAGTCCGACTTCTTCAAGAGGCACGAGGTGATTTGCCGGGGACCCCCCCCAAAAAAAGGAGGAAAGCTGAGCGCTTCTCAGCCCTCAAAAGGGGCGTGAGATCAAACTGTCGGATCCCACCACCCGAACCGTGAAAAAATAATGTGGGGGACCTGCTTCCCTCTACCTTTATTGTGAGAATTTAACAGATTAACAGAGTTGGAAGGGACCTTGGAGGTCATCTAGTCCAACTCCCAGAATCCCCCAGCTTGCAGTATTTGAAAAATATTGGATTAGAAGGGGTGGGTAACTACGGCAACTTTACAAACCTGTGGACTTTAATTCCTCTTGAAGGGAGTTGGAGTTGTGAAGTCCACAAGTCCTAAAGTTGTCCCAAAGTTTGCCGGGGTTCGAGGGATGCTGGAAAGCCAGCAGATCTTTGCATCCAGCGGTTCTCGCTGGTGAAAGAACTTTGTGCATGCTCAGGGGCAGCTCCGCCCTGCTTAAAGCAACCAGGACATCCGTGTAGAAGTGACGTGTTCCCAAACAAGAGCATTTATACCAGAGGTCTTCAAAGATGGCCGCTTTAAGACTTGTGGACTTCAACTCCCAGAATTCTCCAGCCAGCTATGCTGGCTGGAGAATTCTGGGAGTTGAAGTCCACAAGTCTTAAAGCGGCCATCTTTGAAGACTTCTGATTTAAACAAACAAGCAAAAAAAATCGCAGGGCCCTTTTCTATTTACCTCATTTGCAATAGGGTGTTCCTGCTTTATTTGCCATGCTATGTTTATATTTGGCTTTTCCAGAAAATTTGGCTCGTTTTTTTCCAGGCTGGGTGGCATTTCAAGAGTTTGATCCCAAATCCTAGAATATTATTCTGAGGCCTCTAAAGTTAGCCACGCCAATTCTTCTAGTTTGGGGGAAATTATTTGACCTTCTTTCCTTTCCCTTCGTCCTCTCTCTCTCTCTCTCTCTCCTTCTCTCCTTCCCTCTTTCTCTCCTTCCTTCCATCTCTCTCTCTTCCTTCCATCTTCCTTCCTCCATCCCTTTTTTCCAATCCTTCCATCTTCCTTCCTTCCTCCTTCCTTCCTCCTTTTTCCAACCTATCTTTCTTTCCTCCCTTCCTTCCCTCCTTCCTTCCCAACTTCCCATCTTTCTTTCAACCTATCTCTCCTTTCCCCCTCCCATCCATCCTTCCATCCTTCTTCCTCCCTTTTCCCTTCCTTCCCTCCCTCCTTCCTTCCTTCCCTCCCATCAACCTCTCTTCCATCTTTCTTTCAACCTATCTCTCCTTTCCATCTCCTATCCATTCATCCATCTCTCCTTCCTTCTTCTGCCCTCCCTTTTTATTTCCTCCCTCCCTCCCTCCTTCCTTTCTTCCTTTCTTCCCTTCCTCTTTTCCTTCCTTCCTTCCCTCCCACCAACCTCCCATCTTTCCTTCCATCTATCTCTCCTTTCCCTCTCACTTCCATCCTTCTTCCTCCCTTTTTCCTTCCTTCCCTCCCATCAACCTCCCTTCCATCTTTCTTTCAACCTATCTCTCCTTTCCATCCATCCATCCCCCTTCCATCCTTCTTCCTCCCTCCCTTTTTACTTCCTCCCTCCCTTCTTTCTTCCTTCCTTCCCTGCCTCTTTTCCTCCCTTTTTCCTTCCTTCCTTCCTTCCACCAACCTCCGATCATACCTTCAACCTATCTCTCCTTTCCCTCTCACATCCATCCTTCTTCCTCCCTTCTTCCTTCCTTCCCTCCCATCAACCTCCCTTCCATCTTTCTTTCAACCTATCTCTCCTTTCCATCTCCTATCCATCCCCCTTCCATCCTTCTTCCTCCCTCCCTTTTTACTTCCTCCCTCCCTCCCTTCCTTTCTTACTTCCTTCCCTGCCTCTTTTCCTTCCTTCCTCCCTTTTTCTTTCCTTCCTTCCACCAACCTCCGATCTTTCCTTCAACCTATCTCTCCTTTCCCTCTCACATCCATCCTTCTTCCTCCCTTCTTCCTTCCTTCCCTCCCTCCCTTCCATCTTTCTTTCAACCTATCTCTCCTTTCCATCTCCTATCCATCCATCCCCCTTCTGTTCTTCTTCCTCCCTCCCTTTTTATTTCTTCCCTCCCTACTTCCTTCCCCCTTTAACCCACCTTGCTCCCTCCCTCCCAGGTGATTGGGAGCTCTCTGCTCTTCCTCCACGACCAGAGAGGCCATGCCAGCATCTGGATGATCGACTTTGGCAAGACTCTCCCAGCGCCAGCCCACTCCCACCTTCGCCACGACGTGGCCTGGACCCCCGGAAGCCACGAGGACGGCTACCTGATCGGCCTGCAGCACCTGACCCACACCATCCGGGCGACTCTGGCCAGAGCTGAGCAGAGTCAGGACCCCCTCCCAGGGCCCTCGTGAGCCTACGCCCCCCCCGGGAAACAGCCGAGAATGGCGGAAAAGGACCCGGCCCCACCGAGTGGGCGACATCCCCACGGCAAAGGCAGCCATGCTGTTTGGGGAGGGGGCAGCTGGGAGCCTCCTGGAAGAGCTGCTTGGAGCTCCTCTCCAGCCTTCAAATTCTTTTTCCTGCTTCCACACACACACCCCCGACCCCAATTGCTCGCCAAAGGGGTCTCTCGTAGCCCGGGGCCATTTTCGGGCCCCTCCGTGGTATGGCTGACACCCCCTCCCCCTTGGAAAGTACAGCAGCTTCTGCAAGGAGCTGAACAGAACCAAAAGTAAAAGAAGAATCGTCGCGCAGTAGCTCAAAACGGGACCGAAGCCGGACTTTCGGGAGGGGAAATTCAGACCGGGATTGCCTGAGTTTATCTGCGGCGAAGCGAACCGTGGCTTACTCCGTCGGCCCAACTTTTGCAGTTTCGTGCAACCCGCCGGAGTGGAAGGGCCGGACGTTGGCAGGACTGGGTGGTTTGTGAGTCAGTGTGTCAAGCCAATGCAGGCCGCAGAGTCTGTGCAACCGCACGCACAAACACACCCTGTACAAGTCGGAAACTTGTAACTTTGCAAAGATGCGGCCTCTTCTTGGGATGTTGGGTGGAGATGAATTAAAAGCCAGGCAGGGGTGCCTTTTTCAGTTCTTCTTTGGAAGAAATTCCACTTTTGTGTGTGTGTGTGTGTGTCTTTTTCATATCAAAGGAAATTCACTTAAGGCAGGGGTTTTCCAAACTGGGACACTTTAAGACTTGTCAACTTCAACAGGCTGCCTGGGAATTCTGGGAGTTGAAGTCCTGATTGAGGCATTCTGGGAGGTGAAGTCCAGGCTGGGGTATTCTGGGAATTGAAGTCCTGGCTGGGGCATTCTGGGAATTGAGGTCTTGACAGGCATTCTGGGAATTGAAGTCCTGACGGGGGCATTCTGGGAATTGAAATCCTCACTGGGGCATTCTGGGAATTGAAATCCTCGCTGGGGCATTCTGGGAATTGAAGTCCTGACTCAGACATTCTGGGAGGGGAAGTCCAGGCTGAGGCATTCTGGGAGGTGAAGTCCAGGCTGGCGCATTCTGGGAGTTTAAGTCCTGGTTGGGGCATTCTGGGAGGTGAAGTCTACCAGTGTTAGTTGGCCCAGTTTGGAGACTGCAGACTTAAGACGATCAATTCTGTTTTTTCCTCCCCTCCAAGCTCAGCTCAGCTCACCGTTCTGGCTTCAAATTCCACAGCACAATGCTGGCTTTATTCTCTGCAACGCAACCCCGCCTGCCCCTCCCGAGACCCACACAAGTGGGGCAGCTTTTGCAGAAACTCCACTCTGGCCACAGGCAAAATCCACGCCCCATCCAAAAAAAAAAAAGCACCACCTTACAGGCCCAGCCTCCAAGTTCAAGCCTTATTGTGGAGATTGCTGTTTTGCCAAAAGCCAAGTTTCTAGTCCTCATGGGGCAAAACTTCGGGAAAAGGTTTGGCAACACCGTGGGCACTGAATGGTCCTTTTTTTATGCCCAGATTTCAGCCTCCCTTTGCAAGGAGGCCAGGCAAGGACAGGGTGGCTCTCCCCCCACCTTCCCACCGCTCAGTCTGGGGCCAGTTGGCTAAAGGAACTGGTTTTTTTTTTTTTTTCTGTCCCTTCTGCAGCTTTGCCAGCCTCCAATGTGTGGGGTTGCCACAGAGACGGAAAGCCGGGCGCGTGGGAGACTGGCAGCCAGGGAGAGAATTTTTTTTTTTTTTAAAAAAGGGGGGGGCAGGATAAGTAACCTTGGGAGAAAGAAGAAGAGGCTTTGTTGGAGGAAGCCAAGTTCACAAGGACAAGCGACACCGGCCATTTGCAAAAACCGTGGACGCTTCTTGCAAAGATGGGGACGATCTGCAGGGCCGGAGATGGGAGGGGGGGCTCAGAGGCTTCGTGGGCCGGGCGGCAGAGAGGGGCCAGGGAAGAGGGTCGCCCCATGCCTCCCAAGGCAGCAGAGGGTTCGGAGGGGGTCAGGCTCAGGCCAGGGGGTGCATGCAAACCTTGACTAGGAGGGATGGAAGCTTTGAATGCGGTAGGATCAGAATAACAGTTGGAAGGGGCCTTGGAGGTCTTCTAGTCCACCCCCCAAAGCTCCTAGAATCATAGGGCTGGAAAGGTCCTTGGATATCTCCTAGTCCACTCCTCGCCCAAGCTCAAAGGATGGTAGGGCTGAAGGGAACCTTGGAGGTCTTCTAGTCCAACCCCCTGCCCAAGCTCATAGAATAAGAGCCTTGGTGGCGCAGCAGATTAAAGTGCTGTTAGGTAGCACCAGCTGCCTGCCATTAGTGCGAGTTCAAATCTCACCAGGCTCAAGGTTGACTCAGCCTTCCATCCTTCCGAGGTAGGTAAAATGAGGACCCGGATTGTGGGGGCAATAAGCTGACTTTGTATAAAAAAGAACACTGCTTGTGGGGGGGGGGGCGAAAGCCCTACTAAGCAGGTATATACAAAAGTACGAAGGCTGTTGCTTAACGCATTGTAAGCCGCCCTGATTCTCCGGAGAAAGGGCGGCATATAAATCGAACCAATAAATAAATAATAAATAAATAAATAAATAAATTAGAATTGTAGGGCTGGAAGTTTGGAGGTCTTCTAATCCAGGGGGTCCCCAACCTTTCGGACCTCAGGGACCACTAACTTCATAATTTTAAATCCCACGGACCACTAATACGATCTGCCTGATGACCGGCTGGGTGGGCGTGGCTAGGTGGTCATGTGACTGGGTGGGCATGGGCCAACTCAATGTCATTCACATCGAGGGGTGCCTTGCCACTCGCCCCTCCCCTCCCAGCCCCCCCTCGCCTGCCCTCCCGGGCTCCTTAGGGCCCCAACAGGAAGCTGGAGTTGGAGCTAAGCAGCCCCCACGAGAAAAAGTTGGCGAAACAGCTCAGTTCAAATTGGATCTGACCGAGAAGGAGGCTCAGCAGAAGCACCTCACTGAGGACTAGGAGCATAGGCTTTCCAAGCAGAGGGAAGACCTGCAGGAGTGCAAGGCCAGGTACCGGCGCCCGGAGGCTCAGTGGGCTGTGATGGTCAGCCAGTGCCAGGCCATGATGGAGTCCCACTGGAACGAGGCCCTCCGGCTCTTCTCCACCAGCGGCTCTTCCCTCCAGCCTTCGCCCAAAGCCCCACACCAGGAGGCCGAAGCAGACCCCAATTCAGAATTTCTGCCCCCCTCCGACCCTCACAAGAAGACCCCAAAGGGGACTCTCTGCAGCAACACAAACGTTCATTGCACGTATCTGTCCCAGGGGCCGTAGTTTGAGGACCCCTGATTGAGTGCAATATAAAAAAATGCAAATAATTTTTCCGCAGACCACCAAAATTTTCTCGCGGACCACCAGTGGGTGACCAGTTGCTCTTCTAGTCCATCCCCTGCCCAAGTTCCTAGAAGCATAGAATGGTAGCACTGGAAGGGACCTCGGAGGTCTTCTGGTGGCAAGCAGTTCCACTGGTGAATTGTCACTTTCGGGAAATTTCTCCTTAATTCCAGGTTGATTAATTTCCACCCATTGCTTCTTGTCCTGCCTTCAGGTACTTTGGAAAGTAAGATGACCCCGCTCCCCCCCACCTTCTTTAGAACAGAATAGAATCACAGAGTTGGAAGGGAACCTTGGAGGTCATCTAATCCAACCCCCTGCCCAGGCAAGAAACAATACACCACTTCAGACAAATGGTTATCCAACATCTTCTTAAAAACTTCCAGTGTTGGAGCATCCACAACTTCTGGTGGCAAGCTGTTCCACTGGTTAATTTGTTCTAACTGTCAGGAAATTTCCCCTTAGTTCTAAATTGCTTCTCTCCTCGATTAGTTTCCACCCGTTGCTTCTTGTTCTACCCTTTGGGGCAGCCCCTCAAATATTGGGGGGCGCTGCTCTCATGTCAACCCAGGTCCTTCTTTTCATTAAATGAAGACAACAGGAATCCCCGCAAGGGCTTCCCCATGCACGCAGGGAAGTTAAGTTGCAAAGCTGCAGCATGGAGAGCTGGTGCAGGCTGAGCAGGGAGGGGTGCAAGCAAGCAAGCAGGAACTGCTTTCTGAGTTGCTACTACGCTGACAGGAAAGGGGCTGAGTAATTGCACGGGGGAGGAGGAGGAGGGGAGGAGGAGGAGGGGGTGGCAGGCGGTTGAGGGGGTGGTGGGAATCTCAGCTGCTGCAATCCGGAAACCAAGAATTATTTTTTTTTGTCGGATGGCGCCAGGCTGCCCTCTGCTGGCCGGTCTTTGCTCTGTTCTCACTTTGCGTAAATACGTCCAGTAGTCCTCGAGTTATGGCCACAACGTTTCTCTTTGCTAAGGGAGACACTGGTTAAAGGGAGCCGCTTTGCCCCGTTTTACGACCTTCCTGGCCACGGCGGTTAAGCGAATGTACTGCCGTCGTGTTAAGTCAAGTCATAACGGTCGTTTAAGTGAATCTGGCTTCCCCCGTGGACTTGGCTGGTCGAAAGGAGATCATGTGACCGCGGGACCGTCGTAAGTACATGCCAGTTGCCAAGCCCCTGAATTTGGATCGTGTGACCACAGGGGGATCTGGCAACGGTCGTAAGTGTGAGAAAAGGGCATTTTTTCCAGTGTCATGGTAGACGCTCGTTAAATGAATTATACAGTACCGTGATGGCGAACCTATGGCACGCGTGCCACAGGTGGCACACGGAGCCATATCGGTGGGCACGCGAGCATTGCCCTAGCTCAACTCCAGCGTGCATGCATGCGCCGGCCAACTGATTTTCGGGCCTTCCGGAAGTCGGGAAACAGGCTGTTTCCGGCCTCCGGAGGGCCTCCAGCGGGATGGGGAAGGCCCGTTTTTCACTCTCCCCAGGCTCCAGAGGCTTTCTAGGAGCCCGGGGAGGGTGAAAATGGCCTTCCCCACCCCACCCCGGATGCCAGAAACGGCCCGTTTGTCGACTTCTGGTGGGATCGGAAGGCCTGTTTTTTGCCCTCCCCAGGCTCCAGATGCTTTCTAGGAGCCTGGGGAGGGCAAAAACAGCCTTCCCCAGCCCCGGAAACCCTCCAGAGGGCGAAAAATGGGCCCACCATGCCATCGCGTGCCAAAAGTGTGGGGAGTGCAGGGGGGCGGAGTCACATGCACATGCATGGGGGCGGGGCCCATTGAATTATGGATGTAGGCATGTGCGCACGCAACCCACCCACGCTCCCCACGCTTTTGGCACGCGACGGCAAAAAAGGTTAGCCATCACTGATATAGTAAGTCAAAGACTTATCTGTACAGACTTTGAAGAAGGTTGCTAATAGTCCTCGACATACAACCACGACTGGGCCAGGATCATCCATCGGTAAACCATGTTAAGTGAACTAACTCTTTTCTGGTTTTTTGGGGTTTTTTTTGCTGCAATTGTTAAAGAGAACCACTGCCGTTGTTAAGTGAATCACATGGTCGCTAAGCGAATCAGGCTTCCCCTGACTTTGTTTATCGGAAGCTGGCTGGGAAGATTGCAAATGGCGGCCCCAGGGATGCTATAACTTGGGTAAATACATAAGTACATATGTGCTAGTCGTTCCTGACTCTAGGGGGCACTGCTCATCTCCGTTTCAAAGCCGAAGAGCCAGCGCTGTCCGAAGACGTCTCCGTGGTCATGTGGCCGGCATGACTCAACGCCAAAGGCGCACGGAACGTGGTTACCTTCCCA